TAATCGTTTAGTCAGTGAGACCGAGTCCCCGGATGATTTATACTAACGGAGGACGATGAACAGGTTGATGATTCCGATTTCTATGGGTATCACTATGCTCGGTGAGTTAATGCTCGCATTTGCTTCGCAAAACTGGCCGTATTTGACTTTCTGAAAGAGAGGCAAGAAAGGAACTATGATACGGTTTTGAAATAGTGTCCATGATACTAGAAATACAATCAAATTCCACAAGTTGTTATGCATTTAGATAGCTTGAGTTGAAATAACATTTCTGTCTGAAGCTACCATCTGGAAACTGAATGAGGGTTGTTTTGCAAATTTTGCAGATTGACATATCACTCATTGGACATGTGCGACCGGTACAACCAAACTGGGTCGTCGAGTGCTCTGCTCAAAGTGGTCCTGTGACGTTCAATCGATCTCGCCTGTCATCCCGCGAACGTGCAAGCAAAGGTGATGTCGTGCTCTCGCGGCACAAGAGATTGACTGGCGATGTGAGTTTGTTCATATTCACAGTTACCCACAAGTCACGATGATGCAGACAATGAACATGCTCTGAGCGATAATACGTTTATGAGTTTCTGAAGCCAATTAAATAAATCTAATGGAGGTCGTCTAGAAAGACAGAGATACTTGGCCGTATTTATAAAGTTATTTTCCCTAATGAAATGTTGGTAAAACGGGATTAAATGTTCCTACTTCTAGATTGACTTCGCACCAGTCGACGAACGCGGCATACTTGTAAATAGGCCCTCAAATTTGACGATGTACATCAAAAGCTTGAAGAACATCCCAACCTTTATTTTATTCTGGATTAATTGTGGTCTATCTATGATATCAAATATTGCTGCCTGCAATCTCAGCTTCGTCCAGATCGAGATAGAGGACGACATGTCTATCAAGCTGATCGAGGTCAAACCACTTGGTCAATTCAATGGTGAGCTGGGAGGCCCGATCAATATAACGATTTCCGTTAGATTGTCGGACGCTGCGAAGGAAGGAGACAAGCAAGTTATAACGGTAACTTATGGAACACAGGAAAAACAATGCTTTGAACAAGTCACAATGTCCATCAACCCGGAAACAGATTTCAAAGCCCTACTGGACACTAAGATATACACAGAAACAGTGTTTATCTACCCCAAGTACGTTTATGAGCCAGTCAACCAATAACCATTTTACCTATTGTACCAGCATGTGAAGAATGGATTTCGGGAACCAAAAGAAAACTTTTAAAGCACACGACAGCATTCTATGCTAAAATGTATTTTCATGCTGACTAGTGAAGCGTTCTCCAAATTCCATTATTAAATATGGTATTATTGAATACCGGGTGGAAAAAGAGGCACCAAATGTGACCCATCATCGCAATTTGATTTGCATCGTGTGGAGAAACTTGTAAACCATCACCGGCAATAACTGAATTTATTCTTGCGAATGCAGAAATGCATCTGTGCAATAGCGGGGCCCAGTAACACTTTCCACCTACCTGCACTCTTCGTTGCAGAGACACAGTTCGATTTGTGCTGAGTATAGGGCAAAGTCCGGAGTCGCATTTAGAGTGCAAGCCAGTGAAAATCACTCTGCACCACAACATGTGGATCAAAGCTGCAACCATTTCCAGTTATGACAATCAGATTCCCCTAAATTACACACAGCCATATCGATTGACCGAGGTGCTGGCAAGTAGTGAATATATTGATTTTCGCGCACCAATATTTGTGCGCACCATGTCATGTGAATAAAAGCAATACGTTTCACGTCCATGCAATCTGGTATTCATGCGTATCACTTGTCATTTTCAAGTTCAATCAAAATCTCACAAATCTAAAAACAGATTTTGTTTCCAAGAGATGTGTATGTATGATCTTTGCTGGTTTCAAGTGTTCTGTAGAACGGTTGTATGAAGTTGTATTTTACAACATTGTTTGGAAGATTCAGTGATACATGCATAAGCTTTCACATAAAAAGAGACCATGATCACAACGCTATCACAGACAAAAGAACTTGAAGAACTTGAATAGACGCAATAATCGTGTCTGTAAGGAGAGGATTTCCAGCTTGCAAGCAACAGTTTTGTCATTCAAAGACTATCGAAGGTTGCTTTCAAGGGTTCCAGCTGGCTACGTCACATATCTGACACTGCTCACCGGCGTTCTCTAAATCCGGTCCTGACAGAGGAAGTTGAAGAACAGTTCAAAGTGAAAACACATTTCTCGGGTAAGAGCTTCTGATCGGATAAAATGGAATGGACAACGGGATAGTTGCAGCCTATCATATACAGACAGTTCTGATTGGTGAGATAAGGAAACGGAAATGACACTATTGTCAGCATAAATAGAATTCTCTAGAGAGAGAGAGAGAGTGATGGGTATTTGGATAATGCAATTCGCAAACGCATTGGATGGTAAGAAAGCATCTTGAAGTTTACTCAGACTATTGAGTGAGGCCTTTGGCTGTCTTCGTCCCAATTTAACACTCAGATATATTTACTAAAATTAATCACCAAACTATGCAAGATGAAATATGAGACAATCAAACAATAGGAGCTTTTGAGTAAAAGACAACGGACCAGTGAGTCAAAAGTAGAAGTATAATCAAGAAATGCACAATACGCATATACGCCTTTTTCGTTTAGGGAACTAGATACGTAAAGGTATCCCGTGTGTTTTTATGCAAACAGGGAGATATCGTCGGGGGTGATGAGAAACAAACGAGGTTGATACATAAATGACCGCTGCATCAATTTCAAATCAGTGGAAGCGGGAGCAAGTTGAAAATCTTTCGCAGTTGCATCTTTGCGATTTGTTTTTTTAGATAGGTGATTTCCTCCGCGGGTTCAATAACTGGGGCATGTATCCAACGATAAAGGAATCTATAATAACTGGTAAGGAACTGGTAATCAGTTTTACTGCTTGCAGAGTTCTCTGTTTTTCCATCACTTATTCGTCACGGAAAGTGACTTAGAGATAGAAAAAATCCCACTTTCTTTTTTCATACCGTATTAGAAAACATAGGGTTTACATTTCAACTATCTATGCATGTTCTTTTTCACAACGTAGGAGTTTCAGACAAGCTGTTGATATACAAGGAGGTTGGGAAAATAAATTTATCACGACACAGCAAAGGTCAAAACTCGGTATTACACGTCTGCAAAAGAGGTCACTTTTTACAAACAACTTGTGTTGAAACGGAACCAGCCAGCAGGGATTTCGAGAGACTTCCTTATTAGAGCTTAATTGTTTGTTGAATGATTACGCTGGGGGAAACCGGCATTTGAAGTGAGTAGAGAAAATTTGGTGTATGTATTGGTGAATCAGAGGTTTGATTTTGAGAGGATTATAATGAAGTGTGCGGTTGGTGACAGAATGTTTAGTAGTAAGCGTTAGCGTGATTTGTAACGAAGTGACTTAGATGAGAGGTTCACTTCGTTGGTTCGAATAAAGGATCATGTACGTTTAGGCAGAATAGAGTGATGAGACAAGAACCGGTGGAAGGTGCTCATAAAATTGTGTTTGCTTTTGAAATTGTCTGACAAACCAGTTGCGATATCATCCCGGTTCACTCATTCTTTCGAAAAGCATACATTTCAATGAAACGGTGAATGGTCTCAGCTTATTGTAATCATCATTAGAGAAACACAACATGTGCACATTTCAAAATTGTGTTCTTTCAATGCTCGCATTACAGACCGGGTCGCTGCATTTTGGAGAGAATTGGGAGCTGCTTGGCGACGTGGATTTTCATGAGCAAATCGATTTCTCCAATAACGCTCCTGTGAAAACTGTTACGATCACGATGGAAGTCTTTTGCTCGGTGAATCCACACATTCCGAAAGCGAGCAATAATCTGTTTTTCGCAACCACAAATGTGGTTGTATATGCCACCAGAACTGAGTCATTTATCGGTTCTTGTTGTTAAAACACTAAGTAAGAAAATATGTATTCGCGATTCATTTTAGCCACTCTACATTAAAAATGGTATTACTTTCAAAATACAATCCGGTGTGCGATCATGAAAGCATATGCATGAAGTCATACGAAGAATCTTATTTCAAAACTAAATCGAAAACGCTCACTTGGGTTGATATTTTACATGCACATACTCCGAATTTTTGTTCAACACATTGAGAGAACCATATGGGACATGAAGGGAGTACAGAATGTCCTTAAAAGCAACACATTCTGCTAGCTGAAATCCAACAGAGGTTAACGCAACAGAACGCAACCATTTGGTTAGAACGTTTGAAGTGCAGGATTTGGGAATGAGAATAACTGTTACTGGTTTGCAGCAGTCTGGTATGGAGCAGTTATTTAGAGAATGGTTGACAATTATGCAAACATTTCACCATGAGAATAGGCCAAATATCTCAGAGAGAAAATAAAAGACTATCTAGCCACGGACTGTAAGCAGTTTTAACGTTAAGCAAAAGCTCAAATATTTCTTATTTCGAGACGCGCTCTACTTGAACGGCATCGTCCAGAATAAATGGCGTAAGGACTTCGCTTGATGGGTGAATAAATGTTGAATAAATCGTCCACGTCCGTTGTACAATCCGGCGTTTCATATTTCGTCCCACACAGTGATTTAATTCCTTGCCAAATGTGTTCACTGCTTTTACAGTGCAGAAGCTGAGAAGCGTTGGACATCAGCTTTGATCAATGTGGTATAATACTTGACAGCTGCTGAGTCTCTAGAGTTGTACGGTCGTTCCTTCTGTCTTCTGAATGACTTCAACAGTGGAGATGTGATTCTGCCGGTACCGACAAATACAATAGGACAGCATTAGTTCCAGGTGTGGTTGATTGTTTCGGTGAACCAGTTGACTGCATTGCGTAAATCGAGGTAGGAAGTCAGCGACGAAGAAACGACGCCAACGGAACGCCTAAGAAGAAGAGTGTTCCGTGGAGTGAAATTGTGAAGACGGCTGGTGATTGTGCTTGAATGAATCAATTGTGAGTGCAGAGACAACGTGTGGTGGTGGAGAATTTTAATTAATGCACACTCTGAGGGCGAATAAGTGCCGCCGTCATTCTAGTAGGCATTTTTGGAGCGTTAATTTGAATGAAGGCCCCCGCAGGTGAGTGTTGGGCGACAAAGAAAGGAGTGGACGACATGGGTGATCTGGGTTCCGCATTATTTGGTATACCAAGATCAAATCTCTTCAAATTCGGCGATACTGTGTGAAGTACAGTTGCAGTGATTCCAGTCTTCCCGCATAACTGTTGCAATGCAGTCCTTTGACCATTTTGGTAGCCATTCTTTGTGGACATTCAATGATTTGATGTCTTATACAGATGTTCGATGATATGAAATACGCAAGCAGGTTCATGTGAGTACAAAGTTGCGCTAGTGATCGTGATCGGTAAACCACTGGAGTCATCGACGTGTTCCCAAGCACAATGTAGCAGCACATCGATGAGGATTGCACTGCACTAAAGTGGAATGGAACAATGGATTTTCCTCGTGAGCAAAGTAGACTGTTGAGATACATGGACGTGGTGATGATCTGTGTTGAGGCCAAAGGTACAGTTTATTGGTTTGAAAGTGTACCGATCGGCAGATGTCACGATGCAGCTTCAAGCAGCAATCCAACAAAGAATTCACGAATCGATACGAGCTTCACATCATGTGTTCGAATTGAAGCCTCGTCTAGTGACCATTGAAGAGTCTCACGTATATTCAGATATATATTTTTTCGCACAATCTGGTACATTCGCATGGACTCGCATTCTGAGTTCTGTTTTGCACATTTCTGCCTGAGATCCCTGGTAACGAAATAAAATGACTACATTAACCACGATATGTTTAGTAATGAGCAAGATGATCTGCAATAGACATCCAAGATGACAGACATTCTTTCGAAAATTACGTGCAATTCTGTATTTGTCTCCGGTACTGACTTAAAATTGATAGCAAGCAATTCAGACAACGAAAGCGACTGCACTGTGAAGATCCACAGTGAGTGCTGCCCATTCGTTGAAACGCCCTTAGCGGTTTGCACAATGAATACGGGCGTGGAGACGCACCCATATTGTACACAACACATCACTATAATGTTCGGCTCGCTACACGTGGTGTACTACGTACGCTTGAACTTCAAAGGATTAAACACGAATGCGTTCAGGGCGGGCATTGAAACACCAATGGAGGGCCAGTCGTTCACCACTATGGAAAACGTAAGTGAAATTGGTTTAACTGATCGTTTATGGGTTATTCAAATGAGTTACCAAACTCCTGATTCTGTAGTTGCTGATAACTTGTCCACAGAAGAAACTTGGCAAGATAAATCATTTGGAACACAATTTGATTTACATTGGTGAGTGTAAAGATTGCTGCATTTCTTCTCTCATCATTTCAGGCCACGTTCTTCCGGCAAAACGATCAAACATACTTCTTTGCTTTGGGTGGACCGATTGCGGTCAGAGGGTTACGCATGGTTTTTCGGAAGGCAGTGGTTTTAAGAAAAAATACACCTCATTCGATTCAAGTGTTTGGACTATCGACAGGCAGAGATATCCACCAATCCGGTATGTGATATAAACGTGATGTTTCCACTTTTTTCATGGTCCGATGCACAACGCGTATCATTTCACTGGTAAATTGACATGTGAACTTTGCCCCTGATTTGAACAACTCGACAAACGAGGTTGGTGCATTTCTTGATCGCCATTGTAGAGCCTTTGTTTACGTGACCATAATTGTTTCATCATTTCGCACACCCATGCAGACCGTACAATACCCTGAAAGATCGAGGTGTACCGATGTTCAATCGGTCCTATTTGTACGTGGACGACAAACTGATTATCTGCTATCTGTGGGAGCTATCAGACCAGTGGAGCAAATATGCTATGAAGTGTGTTTACGGTCTGGACAAACCGAATTAACGTTTACCTGTAAGTCTTAACACTTGCAACATTATACTTGGTTTCTTATCATCCGCCACGCGTGGGTTCAACTTGCTCAATTCATGGTGCATTTCCTTTCAGTCCTCGGACCAAAGGTATCTCAGGTTATTGAGTATCAACCTGATGAAAAAGTATACTTTGGAAGCGGACCGGAACGATTGAGCATCATTATGTCGAAAGATCTTGAGCGGCCCTGGATTGGCATAAACCTGTATGAATACAGGATCAACGGCCTTGACAAAGGCGTGAGAAAAGCAGAATATCTACCGTGGGAAGAAACCGCAGAGTTCAATTCAAATTTGACTGGTTCAAATTGCACCAAATACACGGGTGGAAATTGGCGTAGTGAGTCCATCCCTGAGTTTGGTTCAAATGTAACAATTTACCAATATTTTCTATGAAATTTATTTGATTGTTACTTGCACTCGTTATCGATACGGTTATTCGATAAGAAATGTCCATAACATCTAATGGATCTCACACTACCGCTAAACTTATAACGTTTTCTGTCATCGAATCCGGTTCTTTGCAATCACTCTTCTGTTCACAGTTTGCTACAACGGAGTCTACTATGGCGACAAAATGGTTGGTGATTGGAGTAGTTCTGTTTGATTGGAGGAACTGGCTGCTCCGCTCTTGTCGGCGCTCATCCGTGTGCAGCAACATCAACAAACGGATCACCGTCCGATATTTGTCGCCAGAACAGAGTTCAATTTATTTCCAAATTGTTTTCATTTGTGACAAAAAACATAAATGCTTATTTTGATCTGTGTGTATTTACATGTTGATGTATGGTCCACATGACGTCCCTATACTTTTTCTTTTGGTAATATCACTAGCAGCGTTTTAGGTTTTCTATAAATATAACCAATGTGTCCTGTGAAAATACATCCCAGATTCGGCATTGCCAATTTCATTGTGAGTCATTGATTGAGACTCCCGAGAACAATTTTATTTTCCTGTTGCGCAGGAGACCGAGTGATCAACTGATTAGGGCAATTCGCAGCGATTTCCTGGGGCATTGCTTTTAGATACACTTCGTTTGCAATGCGAAATGCTTCCTTACCAGCACACCGGTATAACGAATATACATTCGCTAATTGCCAAAAGGGTTCTCGATTGCATCATCAGGGAGGCTTGGTAGAATACATGCCTATCCTATAGCGAATATGCACCGCTTGAGGAAAACTATACACTAACGCGTGCGTAAGGCTGATCATTGGCAGACTCCAAACCAATGTACCCCTGCTACAGCTAGTGGAATTAACCTGTTACCTAATAGAAACATTACTATTCAGGTCACAAATTTAATGGAGCTGTCATTACGCTGTACTCGTACCGTCCATTTTCTATTTACCTGGAATATCTATCGCCGAATAAATGGGGTTGACATGGCATCCCCACTCGATCCGTTCCTAGCTGACATTTGCGTGACTGAACTAGAAAGGAGTGCACCGAGCTGAACTGCTGAAGACGTAGCACACCAGATTCCACAAACGGATGATATTTTCGGTGTGAGCGATCGCAAAAATGTAATTCAACAGACATTGCGATTGGAGAACCAAGCATAATGGTCACCGGAAATCATTGAAACGAACATGTTGGTACACGTGGATGTAACCGTATCCAGGGAATAAGACAGATTAGTGAGAAGACAGATCCACAGAAGGAATACATGTTACGGTCAATATACCCAGTGTTATAGATTCGTTCTTGTGAAATATATGTAACATCTGGTCTAAATCACTGTTAATACGAAACTGATGGAACCGAAGAAATCTTAAGATGTTATTTATGGAAAGCGGCTCGAGTTTTAACGCAAGCTATAGCCGAGACGATCATTTACTAGGCTCCGACTTGTCCCAGAATGCCTTAAATTTGGACAAGCGGATCAATGATTGAACCCTGTGTGGTAGGATTAGAAGCCACACGTAGATCAAGTGGTTGGTTGTTTTCCTAAATGGAAGGAGTGAGGCGATTTTTGGGCAGAAATGAACCGCAGAATTGCGATCTTTATTGAACACGCGATTCCGTTTTGTCGAATTATCGAATTTTGTGTCCGGTTTCATCCATCACCCACATCATACTTGCGGTGAACATTAACCCTTATTCCGGAAAAAAAAACGAAAACATTCGATTTCAACTTCTTCTTGCCAAATGCTGTCTCAGTACAAAGAGATGTGAGAATTATTCGATTTATTTTTAGTTGAACAATCATAGATTGCATTGCATTGAAGTATAGAGAATAATTCGCATTCAAGGAAGGGAGCCTGAAATCCACCACCTGTTTGAATTCTCGCTGTAGCGCAAATACAACTGCACACATCTTGTACCTTAAAAAATTGGTATCATCACGGTCGGTTATTGCTATTCCTCGTTTTCAACCTTATATTATACAATCCTCGTTGCGTACCGTACTTCATAAACTCCGTTATGTTTATTATCCACCTCCATCAATCTCCCATTCCAGAATGCGAGTTTTCAACAGCCCAATTCGGTCGATAAATTTCCAAGGCGGTGCTTCGCACACAGCTGTCGCTGATTTTGTTAAAGCCATTAGAGGCAAATCGGAAATGACAATTTTGTTTTGGGGCTGATCAAATGAAGGATTTCTCCGTAGAACTGCATTTGACTCGACACCCAACGAAGTCTGAATTCCCTACGGAAGTTCCAAATATATGACGGAGATCAAGGAACATGAACAATCGAAAAACCTCAGAATAAATCATATAATTATCCTAAGTTAAACGAAAGATTAAAAGGTACGCGCAACCTTGCTTTAGATCTGAAGCGCAAAAGAAGTTCTGACTAGATAAGTGTGTCAGACGAAAGAAGTATTGGTGAATGTTTAATAAGGAGAACCAAATCTGCTAGCATTGGCAAATAAAGCTTAAGCAAAATGGAGAATGTGGGATAAAAGTTAGTTATTAGAGTGAAGGTAAGGTTTGAGGATTAGCTTAGAAACCTCACGATAGGTCCTTACTTAGATAACTTCCAGTTGGTAGTTGGATCAACATAGTTGTTGACCAAGCTGATCTACAAAGTGATTTGAATCCAAGCGGTGAAATACAGCGAGAAACACAAACCCGAGATTTTTCGCTCGTGCCGATTCTTGCTAACCTCGGTTATACGTGTTCTATCATTTGCTACGTACCAGATACTGCATTTAACAACTGTAAAGGGCCCATACTGATCGCACTGATTGCAGATTGCTTTTAAAGCTGTGAAATTTGAAACCCAAATGGCGGTATTTTTAAACTATCCATCGCATAGATCCGAGGAGCACAGCGAAATGCTACCTACGTTGTATCCGGGTTGCGGATAAGAGAACGGCCACCTTCTTCTTTAACCTTTAATAGGTCGGGCTCCTTCACTGAATTATCCGTTGCAGACGATCAGTGGTCGTACCACCGTACTTACTTCCTTCCACAGAGAAGTCGTATACCTTACCACAGATGTTTGCTGTTTCCAGTCCTCATAATTTGATCAGAGAATAATGCGTTCAATCTATTTACTTCAGCTTTGATAAGCCAGGACAAATACCTAACAGGTCAAGCATTGTGAGATTTGTACGCACGTTCCTTTTCTCGTCGCAGTGACTTCAGTAGGGCAGAGTTTATTCTTCCGTTGGACACATAGAGACACATAGATTTCTTGAAAAGTGATTGAGAAAATCCACTTATAAAACGACTAATGCAAACTACTATCTCCCAAATGTTTCGGTGAAGCCTACCTTAATCCGGTGACGTTTACCAAAAAGGATCGCTAGTGCATCAATCCAAAGCGAAGTAAATTAACTCACCAATTCTGTCGTACAGTTAAAGCCCTGTACAGTCCACGAACGGACGAACGACCAAAATGGGCCAATGAAATACCTTCTGAATCCCCCTTTCGTCTGTTGTTGTTTGTTGCACTTGAGTCCTACGGTCGGCCATAACCCCCCCCCTGTGGTGACGCCGGAAAACTGGTTTGGACCAATCGCACGCTGACCAATTGGCGACTGACACGACCGATTAAGGGGTGCTATAAAACAACGCGTCTAACTGTAGAATTTTACTCGCCCTTGTAGTCAGTTTGTGTCCGCGTTTGGGATCACGTTTCGCGCTTATTTGACCATCGTTTGTCAGATTCTGTTGTATGGTAAGTCCCCTCTATAGTTTGCTCCCCAATGGTCCCGCTTGTACTCAGGGGCTCAGACGAAGTGCCCTTATTCATTCATCCATTCCGTGATCATTTCCTCTGTCCAACTATGAGTGTCCTAGATTTANAGTCCTGGTTGTGAGCCACGCTCATCGTAAATCGGACGGTGTCTCTGCACAGAATGGGGAGGCAGATGCAATGCTGTAGTGCCGCACATATGTATTACAGATGTATTTCACAATAAAGATTCGGAAAAAAGCCTTTCTACTTAGGTTGCTTTGCACATCCCAGTCGTGCTGACAGTGACGTTTCGTATTTCAGGTTGGATTGGAATATGTTATGTTGTATCGCATGCTTTTTCTCGTTTGCCATAAGCCAATATCAATAAATCTTTGTTCTGTTCTTCTGCAGAATCTGCCATTATTACCAAAATTGATATATTGATTTGGTGCCCTGTTCCGTCATGTTGTGATTCTGGGAATTAATATGAGAAAAAGAATGTTGATTAGCAATCTAAGTCGGGTATTGTTGTAAACATATTTCACCAACCGTATTTCACTAAAGCTCGTTTTTGTGAGGAAAAGAAGCCTTCTTTTCAAAGCAATTTTTGTCCACGGTGAATTTCAATTTATTCATTGCAATAACATCGAATTTGCCGCTTGGCTTAACATGATTTAACGCGGTGTGCGAGGTTTCCGCGTATTCGCTCTGAATAAAACTGCGGTTGCAAACAGCAATCTTTGATATCGGTGAACGCTGACAAGCGATCCACAATGAGAAGGGAATCGGAACGTTCTTCAAAATTCTCATATTTATGG